GGTGTCCATCCATCATCACTAGGGACTGTGATGTCGGCTCCTTTCTCGAGCAGAAGCTTGACCACTTCGAGGTGGCCACTACCTGAAGCTGTGTTGACAGGTGTCCATCCATATTTATTCGCTTCGCTTTCATCGGACTTTCCTTCGAGCAATAATTCAACAATTCTTGCCTCACCGTTCATTGCAGCCGTATATAGGGGTGTTCGACCCATGGAGTCTTTCAGCGTATGATCTATACCCATACCGATAAGAGCCTTAGCCATGCTTGCTTGCCCCCCGGTTATAGCAGCATTGATCGGCACTCCGTACATTCCTCCCTCTTTGTTGGGGTCTGCACCCCAGCCAATCAATAGGTCGAATGCTGACTGATGACCCTTGAAGCACACCGCTTGTAATGGGGTGCCATACTCGCCTCCTATCGCGTTCAATTGAGTTTGGCCTTCTGCCCAGATATGTTCCATGACTGCGGGAAGATTGAGCAAAGCTGCATAGTACAAAGGTGCTGCAGGACCAGAATCTGTCTTTTCAGCTCCAGCTGAGGATGGTTCGTATGTCTCCACGTGTCTTCTCCACTGCTCAAAATTCCGATTTTTAGGATCGAGAAAAGCCTTCGCCAAATAAACTAGTTCAGTGTCATCATCTCTCGCAGAAGTCATGTGAGAGTTCCAATGCCATGCGGCATAACGGGCGAAACTACCGCGTTCCTCGGCCCCTTGCATAGTGCGCTGCTGCCAGGCATCATCGCAGCTTAGATAGCTAAGACAAACTTTTGCGAGGTGCTTGTGTTGTTCAGCCTGTGTGAGAGATTGATCGGATTTGACAAAATGTCTGGATGCCCAGGTTTGTTGTAAGGTGGAGAGTAAATATTCTCGAACTGATGGATGGATTAAATGAATGGTTCTGTAACCAGCTCCGACTCCAGTTTTCTCCATCCTGACCTCAACGAGGGCTCCGCAAATGTCGATAATCTCGCCTTTGATGTACTCATCATCGATATTGTCTGGCAGTTCATCCCACTGTATCGTTTTCCCATCATCACTGAACTCAAGGATGAGAGCCTCAGTGATCTCGGAGACCGTCAATGGCCGCAATGCAAATGTTGTCCACCTCAGTATAGCCAAGGCACGATTTTGGTCCTCGGGAGGGTGACTTAGGATGAAATTCCAGTTCCGTTCATAGGTTCTTTCGAGACCAATCGGCATATTTTTGACGATGTTCTGAAGTTGCTTCGCATTTTTACCGCCTCGCAACTGGTCCTGTTGTAGTCTAATCCACAAGAACATGCCCTCACATTTTTCAGTGAGCTGTTCCGCCAAATCCTGTCTAAGGCGGTTATCCTTGTTCGGTAGCTTCCTGTCGACCACAGTTTTGGAGAAACGTGATATGTCGTGTCGAACTTCTTCTTTGGTGATTCTACAATGTTGTATGACGTGGTTGGTATCCTGGTCTCCTTTTGGGGACAATCCCTCGTATATGTCTGTTTCGTCTCTACTTGTAATCAGTATACGTGAAAGGGCTCCCTTGGTAGCCTCCTTCAGCTTCTGCAAGAAATGTGAACGGGCACCCTCTAGCCGACTGTATTCGTCGAACCCATCCAAAAACAAAACATAGCTACGAGGTTCGGATTTAACAAGTTTGAGGAGAGACCAGATCGCAGCCTCAGATGCTCTTCCTCCTGGTTCACAATGCCGTCGTACTAGATCCAAGACGTTTGAGTCTAGCTGTGCTATTTGTGAGATCCAAGATCTGATGATAAATGTTGGGTCGCCACCAGCTTGAGCGTGGGGAGAGGCGAAGAAATAAGCAACAGGAAACGATTTCTCGGCTTTCAAGTGCTCGACGAGTTTCGCGCAAAGTACCGTTTTCCCATATCCAGCAGGTGCATGAATCCACAGCACTCTGGTCACACCGACTGGGTACTCGTCTGAAATCCAATCATTATAAGCGGGATGTGATAAGATCCATTCGCATGTTCCTTCGAGACGGGACGAGATTTGTTTATCGAAATACTGTGTAACATCGGAACGGTGGTTGTACTTCGTCACATCAAGCCAATCATTCACTGTGGTCTGTGAGTCTAGCTTTGCCTTAAGATCCATATCCTGTAGATATTGAAGAATCGCCTGGATATCTGCATGTCCGATCAGATCCCGTACCTGCTTATCTATGCGAGCATGTAAGTCACGCTAATAAAACGGCATGAAGACCCTACCCGCAAAGTGTCCTTCCAACTCATTCAGTTGTTGCGATGAATAAGGCGCGCGGTTCGTTGGAGAGACCAGGTTGGAAAGTCTATTGGTAGCGTTTCGAGCCATCTCGACTTGTTGGCCAAGCGTTCCATTACGTTTAAACGCCCCGCTAGGCTCGTCTCTTATAAGTTTCGGAAGTACAGTTTTGTACTTATCCTTTGCTTGCTCCATCATAGACTCAGGGATACTATCGAAGGCTTCGCCATAGCCTCGGAGTTCGGTGTGCAATCGCGGTCCCGTGTGATCATCGACTTTAACAGGATGACGCGCAGGACCAAGAATCCTCTTTAGGATGGTCTCCAAATTCTTGCCTTCAGGCTTGAAACCATGAAGTTCTTTCATCATTCCATCTAAAGTCCCAGCTACGTTTGTCTGTACTTCAGGCCTCGGCTTATTGCGCTGAAACTTTGGAACCACGTAGCGTGGCATGGAGTCGATGTCTTCGTGGGCTACAACATGTTGCAAAGCGCTCGTATGGACGTTGAAAATGCCAGGGCTAACACGTCGCTCTACGAACTCTCGATCATGTGCGTTTGGGCGGGGTGAAGAGCATCCGCCTTCGTGGTCTAGCTGCTCCATAGAAAGTTTTGCTATTGGCATTACCAAAGATTGACCCTCGAAAGATTTCATGATCTTTCTTTTGAGTCGAGCAAATGCTTTCTCCCGTTTCTCTCCGTATAGAAGCGGTATGTGGATGTCAAAAATTCCAAGCAAAGAGTATGCTGCATCCTCTTCCCGTTCCGTGTGGCGATTCTTTGCCCATGACATTCGCTCGTCGATACTAAACTGGGGCAAAGGACAACCTTGAAGAGCTTGGATAGGAATTCCAGTGATACTGTGAATATCTTGCACCAAGGAACTCTTGTCCCCGATCTGTTTACCCTCCAAGGAATAGAACTCGACACATGCCGGAGCAATAAGCTCCTGTAATGTCCATCCGCGGGTGAACCATCTGCTCTTCCGGAAAGATTGGCCTCCGTTTGCGAAGTCCCTGCACGAAACATCCAGTAGGTATACGTAGCATTTCTTGGAATTTTGGTACCAGCGGAACATGGAGTTGATCGCTTCCGAGAGCTCTGCACTGCTGGACTTGTTGATGCAGCATGTGTCCACCCAGCAATAATCCAAGCCGTCACGCCGAGCTTGTTGTGCACAAAACAAAACTTTTTGATAACCAGTCTTATGTTTTCCGTTGCCACTTGAAAGGTCGTCAAAGGTCCACTCTTGCCCTTTCTGCCAGGTGTGGGAGAGGATCGCATAAGGAGGCACCTTTTCGTCAGTGGTCAAGTCTTCGGTTAGACCGAGACCGCCGTCACTTGTGTACTTCAGAAGTCGCATCGCGTCGCGCAGCGTAGCCGGAGCTCGTAGGCGGAAGCGGTAGTGGCAGGTTGGCAAGACTTGTGCGGGGCAGGCTGGGAGATCGACTGAGTATGCCGGCTCGTTCAGCTAATCACCACGGCTGAGATGTGGCCGGTGCAGGATAGTGAGAATCCTAAGTGGTACATAGGTATCGTGCCGACATACAATCATGTAGGAGGTTCGCAACGTGCGAAGGACGAACTGCATCATGGTGGACAGTGAAGAGCACAGCCTAGATGGCTGAGGCGCAGGCAAGGCTGAAGAACACGTAGCTGCTGCACCTGCATACAACGCCGCTTATCCGAACCTAAAACGTAGAGGACGCTCTTTCGATTTGTTAGGGTAGAGACACATAGGAGACGATCGATGAGTCATAAGATGCACACTTCGCATCCGGCTTTGAATGCGAAGGCATGAGGTTGATGAGCGCGCTTCGAGCCCGTGGTTCTTTCCGGCGCGCGGGAGCGTCTGCTAAGCCACTGAACCGGTAGTTCCCGCTGCGAGGCGGTCCGTGCGGATCACCCAACGTCGTGCCGGAGCCCCGATGGCGCCGTCAGAGTCCGACTACGAACCGTCGACAAGCGAACTAGGGGGCGGACGGCCAAGGCGCTCGATGCCCTGCAGCAGCTCCCTGCGACATGAGCAGCAGCCACGGTACCGCAGCGACGCAGAACGGCGGGCGACGCCAGGGGAGAGAGGATGCGGAGCTGCGCAGCACGGCAACGAGGGCGAAGAGACTCTTCCATCGGACGATCCTACGGCACCGCAAGCAGCACTGGGAGGCCTTCCGATACTTCAAGACGAAGTGGTGCCGGTGCTGGAGAAGTGGGAGCGCACGAGCGGGGCCCAGTTCGAGGCGGCCAAGACGAGCTTCATCCGAGGTAACGGCGTCCAGCCATTATGCACACGTTCGAAGACCCATAATAGTGCTCCATGGCCTCGATGTTCTCATCAAAGTGGAGAAGTTTGTGATTGTGTAGGTAAAGGAATAGATCATCCCAGAGAATCTCTTGGACCAGATCCCGGCCTCATATTGGAAAGCAATGACGACTAATGAGCCGCACACAACTTCTTGGAACACCCAGGTATGATCAGATCACTTCCGCGAGAAGAGAGAGTCGAAAGTATGGATAAGTTCTCTGCCCCTGTCACGCCGGCACTGGCATAAGAACCCTCCGACCTGCACGAATTCTGTGGAAGATTTCGTTGACATCTTTTCTCTTCGCCTAAGAGGAGATCTCGTCTGCAGCTTCTATGAGACTATAACCAGTGTCCGATCTTCTGTTAGGGTAAAACTCGAACACAGACACCTCCCCAAGCCAGCCAATGACTTGGACCGCCATCTTGTAAATCTCACTCATAATGGGTAGCTGAGTTTGTTTCTTTTCCATACTAGCCTGATCAATACACAGAGCATCGGTCCAGACATGTAAAGGCCGTTCATACGTGGAAGACAGATGGTGTAGAATGCCGCAGACATTCTCGGAAAGGTTTAATGTTCCTCGTAATCCACGTAACTTCCTCTTCAGCGTAGAGTCGCCCCAAACATAGGAGATGGCTAGGAAGGGTTGCACATGATCCAGAGATACCGTCACAAGGTCCCAACCATAACTATCACTTGGACAGTCATACAGTAAGAGTGAAAATCCCAGCTCTCGCCCAGACGTAGAAGCCTAATCGACCGAGGCTCCAGAAGGGGTACGTATTAGCAAGGTTAGTCCTCGAGAGGCATAACGTGTTCCATCAGTCATCCGGCCACCCCACTAAAGTGAGCGACACCTCAACACCGATATCTCCCCAACTACAGGGCATTTTTAAATACAATTTTGTAGAAGGATAGTTTATTGCCGTCTACACTGGGTCCTATTGTGTCCTTGCTCATGGCACTTGCTACACGTTGGTGGTGCTCACTGGAGTCCCTGAGTAGGCCCAGCCTCAGCAGCCTCAGCTAGAGCTAGATGAGCTGTAGCACCTAGAGCGCGGCCCTGCTCAACCTGTAAGATGCCTCCTGTAGCAATATACTGTCTCCGCCTACCCTGCCTTTGCCTACGCCGAGAGTTAGCTACCCGTAGCTTCCTATTCTCCTCTGCCAAGATTGTTGCTGAGTTCATTGCTAGCTGACAGCCTTTAACAAATTGTGCGATAGCTTGGCTTGTAGGACTCTGAGACTGTCTCTGGATGCGATCTCGTACAAGCTTTGCCTGCCGCTCAAGCTGGGCAGTAGTATGAGGCGTATCCACTGTTCATACTGCCTCAGGGCCTGCTGCTGTCCCTGGTGGTGGCGGGGTCCTGACCACTGTCAGGTATGAGAGGACCCGCTCTGGGTAAGGAGGGATTAGACCAGTTGCTCGAAATCCACTCTATAGAGTCTGCTCTATGAATACAGAGCTCCGTACGCGTAGGTGGAGAGAGAGGAACGCATCCTTATCAATATGGAAGACACCTTGGCGGGCAAGCTCAGCAATCTCATGCCCATACGCTGCCTTGAGTGGGGAGAAGCAGCTCACATCAAGAGGCTGCAGGAGTTGGCTTGTGTGCGCAGGCATACAGAGGCTGATTATCTTATGCTCTATATAGTAGGCATCGAACTCAGGAGTAGCATGGCTGCTGTGGCCATCTAGGATGAGCAGCCGCCAGGTGCCTACTATACGAGCCTCTGTGTGCTGGTTGAAGTGCTCTAGCCAGGCAAGCCCTAGCTGATCAGTGGTCCAGCCATTGTCGCTAACTGCGAGTACCCAGTCGGCAGGTAGGCCCTGGTACCAGCCGGCCTGGTGGAGCTTGCCAGAGAGGATGATAAGGGGTGGTATAGACCAGCCAGACGCACAGATACACTCAATCGTCGCGACTCAGTCTCTGTTGCCTGGCTGTATGCGTATAGCTCTGCCTATAGTGTCTGAGCTTGTGACCACCTTAGACGATGAGGACCCAACACCCACCATAAAGCCAGTCTCGTCAAAGTTGAAGGTATCTCGATCCTGTATCTCGTACCTTTGGCGCGTCTCCTCCACAAGCATGTACCAGGCAGAGATCTTGATAGGATCCTCACATAGGGCGCGCTGGCTATAGATCTATCCAACTTCCAGAGCTCTGGCTGAGTGTTGATAAAGCGGGATACCCAGTTCTTGCCTATAGGTGCGGGGGGAGGGACCTGGCCGCGTGCAGCAAGTAAATTATCTGCCATTCGTCGTACGTCAAAAATCTGGGGCGGAAATCCTCGTCGGTCAAGCACAAGGATCCACTGAATAAGGGACTGCTGCTCGCTAGGGTATAGCTTTCGTTTCTGGGCGTTGGCTTGTGCCTGAGGTAGGGCACCGCTCATGCGTCCTCGGAGCGTTGTTCGAGGGATATTGTATAGCTGTGCAGCACTTTGAGTACTGAAAACTTGCTTATTCTGAATTGTTTTTATTGAAAGAGCTAGTCTGACTTCTTTCCGGGATTGCTGAGTACTCTGGGGGGCTGGCATGGCGCGTTTTGTGGAGGACGCGTCGCGCCATTTTGGTGGGTTGGCGGATGACTGGTGGAACACGTTATACAAAATAGGGTAGAGAAAAAGTCATGTGGGTACATCCCACGCCTAAAGCAGCCCGGATCTGCCTCATCCGACGCCTAAACGCTCAACTCACGCCTCCTTCCTAATCAGGAAACCGTAGAGCCGTAATACGGCTCAAAAAGCTACTACTGATGGTTGCTACTACGGCGCTAATCGTCTACGGTACTGATTGCTACGAACCGTAGCTTGGCAATACCGTAGCAACCGTACTGCCGACTGCTGGAAGCGCTGACTGTTTGTCGTGTTTTCAGTGCTTCACGAATCACAGCCACTCGGTTCGCATTCATAGTGTCGGGATAGGGAATTAGTAAGCCAGGCGTCAGATGGAAATAGGAGGAATGATGGTGGCCCGTTACAGTAAGGCTTGCATGCCCAATTTATCTTTATCCCGTATTGCAGCTAGGCTGTGAAGGCAACTGTTCCACAAAGATACGTTTTCGATAATTGTCAGCGGATAATTGTCAGCGGACGATTGTCAGTGGTATCAGAGTGCTGAGTAATACTTCAAGTTTCTGTGTGCAGTTTCTGTGTGCAGAAAGCCAGATACATAGCCGAGTAGTTGTCCTACTCAAAGTACCAACATACTTCGATTATCTCTACGCCATGGAAACCAAAACAACAGTTCTGATCACAGGCTCTAACAGAGGCATCGGACTTGGTCTCGTGGAACGTTTTTTGGCGAAACCGTCGCATGTCGTCATTGCAGCTGTGCGTAACCCAGGCCATCCAACTGCTCAGGCCTTGCACAGCCTACCTACAGGTCCCGACACCCAACTCATCGTCGTGAAAATCGACGCCAGCATTGAGAAGGACGCACATGATGCTGTTGCGAAATTGCAGCAGAAACATGGAGTTGGGCATCTTGATATTGTAATTGCAAATGCGGGCGTGGCATACATTTATCCCACCGTCGCAGATGTCAAAATAGAGGATATCAAGGCCCACATGCAGCCGAATGTATATGGTGTCATCGCACTGTATCAAGCTACTCGGGGATTATTGAAGAAGGCTGCGCGGGAGCCCATCTTCATGATCATGGGATCGTCGGCTGGACTTTTGGGGTAGGTGTCTCTTTTCATTTACCAAAGCTTCAACCGTTTCGCTACATTCTTTAGCTACTCTATCCAGTGCATGTTTTTTAAGGAAACGTCTAGGAACCATCTCCCCATACCCAACGCTGCTTACGCCCCTACTAAAACGGTACTTAATTGGTACACCCGACGCGTTGATGCCGAAGATAACTGGCTCAACTGCTTTTCTATCGACCCCGGACATGTGTCAACGGATTTGGGCAACGCGGCGGCACAAGCTGTGGGAATGGGCGATCATGCACCTACAACTGTTCAAGAATCCTGCGATGGCATGATGATAGTTCTGGCAAAGGCTTCCAAGAAAGTGTATGGTGGAAAGCTGGCGGTGTATACCGGAGAGTTTCATGGGTGGTAAAGGAAATTCTATTTTATTTCCTTCTGTTCTGACAGCAAATATGTGACAACAGCGTGGGTTCCCATTGGTAATTCCCCTGCTTTCTAGCTATCTGTCTCACCGTACGTCGGGATCCGTACGGTTGACTGTGCGCCGATGCGGTCCTATCGACACCTAGGGCTGGGTGTCGATGCCGCCCTGGGATAGCCGCCCTGGGATAGGGCTTGAGATTGGGAAATGGCGGCTTCGTAGGCGGTGGGCGTGGGATAATGCTGGTCGTAGGATCAAGGAGGTCGTATTCCTCTCTAAGGCGCGTCGCAAGCGTAGCAGCTACCTTAGTAGTTCTGTGCAGGTTATCTTTGCTACAGATATCGTTGGCGTGCTTGGTTGCCATGTGCGCGGCAAGGTGCGGAGGTGCAACAGCGTAGGCACAGGACCTGCATACTAGCACGTGGTATTCAGGATAGCAGATGAACAGATCCATGGCCAGCCTAAGGACGAAAAGAATGGCAGGAAAGACAGGTAAAGTATTATGTAGTGACGGGATGTATGCTTCCTACTGAAGGCGCGCCTCTCGTTCACCATCAGGAGTTTGTAACCGCAGAGACGCGACCAGAACACGATAGCAGGAACGGTTGTTCGGGCCCACCAGTATATCTTATCTTCTTAGTGCTTACAGCAGTAGGAAGGCGAGATTATTCTTGTTAAGGGAGTAGCCGAAGGGGGTTTTGAACGAGGCCTGGCGCTAGCCAGGGGTGCCGTGCTCTCTCCGACGCGGCTCATTGGCTGAGAATTCCGTCAAGGGTAGGCTGGAATTCTTTATATAATTATCTTAGAATGCAATCAACGAGAAAAGACTTGCCATCCATATCCATGATCATGGTGTGTTCCGTTTCATAACCACCAGCAATACAGGCGCGTATGCATTGAAGCCGCATAGCTGGTCGTTTCTCGGCTAGCTATAAATGTCGCAGTTCAATCTACGTTACTATCGATCCTATTCGGACCGAGTCCTCATGGACTCCTGAGCATCGCGACAATCGTTATAATCCAGCTACTCTGAATAAGCCAACAACCCCTCAGAGCATTCAGAGCCTCGAATTTATTCCATTCTGCTGAACGAAGACGTTGAGAAATTGGTGTTGCCATCTTCGAGTAGTGAATGCCAATTTTAAGATTGTTGCGCAGAGAGGAAGAAGCATGTTATATAGTGAACACTAAGAGAGACTAATGCACAGCGCCGCAGAGCCAATCACCTTAAAGCTCGATCTTCAGATCGTATGGTTAATACTTAGGTAGTCTATCTACTTCCTTCCATAAGAACACATGTAGTAGATCGTAATACTTAGGCGGCACCTTAATAGCTAGGTTAATATCCTTCTTCTCTACTAGCGCCTTATTAATGTCTGCTATTAATACAGCATAGATCTTATATCCCGGTTTTCTCACTAGACTTATTAGGGGCGCTGCTCGTATCGCATATATATTAAGCTATAGGGCGATAGCATAAGGTGCGTTATTATCTAATATATCATCCTATGGTGATTCCTCTAGACTATTGATTATAGGAGCTTCGTTAAGGCTACTAATAGGCGTTAGGTCCTGCTCTTATAACTAGCGGCGTAGTAATTTATACTAGTTATTATATCGCGCTCTCTATATTAAAGTGAGCTTCTAGATTTAGAGTGATGGTGTTCTCTACGCTTTACTAATGCCGGTTATATTATCACTCTTCGTGATAGAGGAGCTCTCTAATCTAATATAAGAGTTGCTATCTATGTGCATGTAGTAGTCTTAATAGCACTAGGCTATAAATTCTAGCTATTCTATATTATAATTCAGCCTTACTCAATGCTTATACATCCAGGGCTATCTAAAAATTATCTAGTGCTGGCTAGTAGTCGTTACGTAGAGCTTAATCTGCTCTATATAGTTCTAGTAAAGGAGACGTATACTAGCTATATATATAATCTATCTATTCTTAAGTTATTATCTATTAAATCTGGTAGGCTATATAACGTAGGGTAGTAGCTATAGATGTAGTTTTAAGTTATGCGCGAGGTCTTAATGGATAAAACTATATCCTATAGCTCTAGTATTAACTAAGGTAGTTACTAATTATTTAGCACTACCTTGCTAGATTGTATAGGGAATGTTAATCTGTATTTCCTAAGTTCCACCTAATGGATGAGTCCATAGATCTATTAAGACTCGTATCTAGCGTAGTCCCATTAAGTGACTTATCTCTAGGACTAGGCTTTTCCCTATAATAATTGTTGTTGTCGCGAGCGCGATTGAGATGAGGAGCGAGAGCTCGTATCTAATAATATATCTAATCTAGGTAATGGCGCGCGTTAACTTAGAGAGCCCTATTAATTTATAGTCTATATCTATGTCTTCTTAGGGCACTCCCTAGCTATATATCTATGGGCGCTGCATGTGAAGTAAAGTCCTTTCTATTAGTATTAATCCTTCTTCTACTCTAATAGAGTCGCGCGTAATAATATATTAATCTCTATTATATCTAGGTTAAGCTACTATCTTGGAGTCATGACCTTATAGGTATAGTTTAATTAGTGGGTCGGGCAGGTAGGTAGGTATTAGAGGTCATTATTATATTAGGCGATTAGGTTGGCGTATTCATTAATATTAGATGGAATTTTGGCTCCTACCATTGCGCGTTAGAGGTTATTAGATAGTGAGTAGTATAAGGCATTAATCTATACTTCCTTATTTAGATTGGTATCTACTATAAGTCGTCAAAATTTAGTAAAGTGGCTAAGGAAAGGGCGCTTTCCTTATTTAAAGTTATCTAGCTTACTCTAGGTAGATAGTGTTCTATTTGGATTATTGTATGTAGTATGGAGGAAGGTAATTAGCTTCTCTATAGTAGCTATATTAGATCCTATTAGTGGATCTACGAGCGTTATAGGGTTATAGTTAAGTTGCGAATGCGCATATATTAATTTGGCGCGTTTAGTTGGGTATTAGTTAGTATTGCCCTCTAGCTTTATGCGTAATTAAGAGATAAATAGAGGTAGGTCCTTCCTCTTGCTAGTAAATATGGGTAGGTTAGGTAGTTAGTCGCTTAGGTGCACCGTCTTTATAGTTATTAAGCCATTGCCAGATGGCGTTATAGAGGGCTCTAATGACTCCTTAGCTAGGGTCAATATAGGGGAATTAGTAAGGCAAATAGACTTCTTAGGCATGGTAAGCTTCTTGCGTAGAGCCTCTATATCAGCTTAATACTAATCCTACATCTATTAGAGAGACTACTAGAAGGCTTCCTATTAAGCCTACTAAGCTTGCTAAAAGGTCTCCTGCAGCATCTTAATCTATTCCATTATTGCCTATATCATTAGGGTTGGGTCTGCTGAACTAGTTATGTTGGTTAGTTAGTGTGATCCAACGTAATGTCACAAGAGTAATGAGCAAGATGTCTAAGGCCTAGGTAGGCTAGATTAATATACTACATTTGGTATCTACGTGTAGGTACAAGACGTTGGATAAGGAGAAAAGGTCCTCTCCCCTATCTAGCGTAGATCTATCTTCTCACTTCGTCATACGCCCTCGCCAAGGGTGGCTAGTGCCATGCTTTGACCAATTAGCTAGCAGACGGGCCACCCATCTAATAATCTATTAACTGGCTACCAGCGCGCAATATCTCTAAGATATACTACTACTAGTAGTATATCCATGCTTATTAGGTAGCCTCTAAGGTTACCGTAACACTCTCTATATACCTACTTATTTATTATACCTACTCTAGCCACTTAATTGTCAGATTCACACAGTGATTTAATGAATACCGGTGATCTAGAGATGAGATGGGTTTATTATTCGGTGTATTGGCCGAGGTTCTATCTAGGGCGCCCTTTGGTGTGGGTCTTGGCAGATAACCTATCCTAGCCCTATTTTAGCCAAGTCTTAATATCCTACCTCCGGCCTCCGCCCCAGCCATCTAATAACAACACTAAGATACTTAGAACACGCCCTCATATCTGACATTAATATAGGCTATTTCTCGCCATTAAAGTAGATATATGGTAATTAAATTTCTAGCTTAGTACGTAACTATATTAACTATATTAATAAAACTACTTTCTTACTAGCATTTAAAGTAGCATTTAAGCACTCTATTATAGAGAGTAATATTAAGATAAGCTTTTAAGGCGGTAGTTATCACGAGAGCAACGAGTAAGATGTCTAAGGCCTAGATAGGCTAGATTAATATACTGCGTTCGGTATCTACGTATAGGTACAAGACGTTAAATAAGGAGAAAAGGTCCTCTCCCCTATCTAGCGTAGATCTATCTTCTCGCTTCGTCGTACGCCCTCGCCAAGGGTGGCTAGCGCCATACTTTAACCAATTAGCTAGTAGATGGGCCACCCATCTAATAATCTATTAACTGGCTACTAGCGCGCGATATCTCTAAGATATACTACTACCAGTAGTATATCCATGCTTGTTAGGTAGCCTCTAAGGTTACCATAACATTAGGTCCCTCCCTCTCTTATAGTCTAAGCTTGCGAGGATCTATGTAGGTGTCTAGTTTAATATTATTTCGGACGGCTATCTAATCTGCCTATTTAGGTCCTCTCTATTAGGGTACTTCTAATGGTACTCCTCTGCAGCGGCGGTGTTAGCAAAGTCGATTACTGGCTCCTAGGTCAGGTCATCGTATCTAGTCCACTTAACCTGGTATTCGTGTCGTTTCTGGCGTCGATTGAAACAGAGGTCAACTATCCTCTTAATATAATACTCTGGTTCTGCGTCAACTATTACTGGTTCGGGTGGCTCTACCTGCTATCCTGGTAGATAGGCGTTGTCTGGCTCCGCTGGCCGGAGTAGATTCACATGGAATATAGGGTGTATCCTTATTGATTTAGGCAGCTCTAGTTTATAGGCATGTGAGGAGACCACCGCGCTAATCTTATATGGGCCTACATTCTTCCAGTTAAGCTTCTTAGAGCGTCGTTGTGTCCTTAGGTTTCGTGCGTCTAGCCAGACACGATCGCCTATCTAATAGGTAGGCGCTGGTTGTCGTGTATAATTCGCATACTCCTGGTGTAAGGCTTACGTCCAGGTTAGTTCCTCGCGAATAAGATCTACTATATCTTTTATCTTATCCACCATGCGATTGGTAGTAGCTGCGTCGAGTCTCTGTCTATAGGGCCTAGACACTATAGTGGGCGGCTCGAACCCCATGCAGGGATTCTGGCCGTAGTAGATTAGGAAGGGCGACGCCTATATAGACTCTAACACTATATTGTTGGCTTTAAACTGTACCATAGGTAGCCAATCCACCTAATTATCCTACGTATAGCTCGTATATGCACGTAGTACCTGCTCTATTACTATGTTTACGTTTTCTGTTTGTCCATTAGTCTCTGGGTGATACGCTGAGGATAACAGTGCTGTAATCTTCAATTGGCTATAGAGCTCTGTCCAGAATGCTGAGACGAACTGGCTACCTCTATTAGAGACTATCATAGTGGGTAGTCCTTGGTTGGCCCATACGTATCGTAGGAAAAGCCGTGCTGTCTCTGGCGTAGTGATCTCCTTATAAGGAATTAGGTATCTATACTTGCTCAACCAGTCAACCACTACCATGATGTTCGTGTATCCCTTAGACTCTGGTAGGTCTATTA